TATCCCCTTAAATATAGGGGAGAAAGACCAGACAAAAGACACACAGTGGAAGAGAGCCAGAGATGAACAATAACAGCGAGTGAAAAGAAGTGAGTGAGGAAGAAACGCTCGGTGCATTACAGGAAGCCCCCAGCAGCCTAGACCTATTGCGGCATACTAAAGGGAGGATTCATGTCCACCTGATCCAGCCCTTTTTCTTTTATCAAAAAGGAAAGTTTTAAGCCTAATCTTAAAAGTAGAGAAATTGTCTTTGAAACCATGCAACCTGAAGGCAATGCCCCCCGCTTTAGTGGTCTTCTATGGCCTTTCAGGTCTCTTTGGTGTTGCTGAGCTGACCAGAACTTCATCAGAATTCACCAGAATGTTGGTTTTGCAAAACAAGCTTTTGCTGTGTCTTCACCTGCATCAACCTCTTGAAAAGCTACCAAATGCCAAACACTTGGAAACAAGTGTTTATATTTAATCTGACAAATTTGCCACGACATAATAAGGGAACAGGTCCAACTTGGCCATAAAACTGCTTTTAGAGAATTGTCCACTTGCCTTTGAGCTCTGGAAACAGGAGACTGTGTATGAAGAAAACGACTGGATACTATTAGAAGAAATAAATTAAATCCAATACATTTTGCTGGATTTGCTGTCTTTAGGGTTCTATAACTCTTATCCAAGATGAGTCCATTGAAAAATGTATACAAGACATAATGTATGACTGTAAAATTGCTGTGGGATTACCTTATTTTCTATTGAACACTCATCAATACCATGTTCCTTGAAGTGTTTCTATAATTTAAAATTAATTGTTGAATCATATATCATCTACATTATTAATGTGCTTATTCCAGACATAAGCCGTACCCTACCTTTCAGTTTTATGGTTACTCATTAAGACTTGATTCATTAGGGCTTTATGCATACGATGAATTCAAGCCATTTAATCCTTGTTAATTTCAGTATTTCATGTCCCTTTAATGATGTCACCTGCTGTGTTAAAGAAAAGCCAATTTACATTTGAGCTGAATAAATCTTTTTATACCCCGGATACATGATAGCCATGCATAGGTTAGCATCATCACATTTAGAGTTCTCCTCTAAACCAGAAGAACCTTTACAAGACTCTTCGTCAGCAAAAAAAAGCTTGGATTTGCTGCAAAGAATCTCGAAAACTCTTAAAAACTCTGAACTTTCTCTGGAAAAGATGCCATCAAGCTGCTCTTTGCTGAGATCATCTTTCCTGTTAGTCTTAACTTTAATTATGCTTCTGGATTCCAGAAAGATCTCCCAGGACGACAATGAGGTAAAGTACATTTTCTTGTGACTTTATTTGCTAACTTTCATCACAGAAATAAAAACCAGAGGTAATTTATTGACTGTACCAAGAGAACTTACACCCTAGTGTGATATGCATTTACTTTAATTTTCATTTCAGCAGAATTATTCCTTGGGCGAGTTTTAACTTCCCTCTAAAATAATTTAATCTGATATTATTTTACAAATTATGTTGATATGAAACAAACAAAGTGGTTTAAGGTTCAAAGGTTTTTTGAAATTATCAAAAAAATGCAAACAGCTTTTTTTTAACCTCAGATGAAAGTAAGTTATTAGATCTGGTTCTGGTTATATCCTAGATGCCCTGCACTCCTTCCATAAGCAGCTTTAATTAATTCTTTAATTGATAATATTATTATCAGTGTATTGTCAGGCAATGCTTTTATTATCCTAACAATAATCATAATAATATTGTAGAAATAAAAGAGAAAATAACAGTTTTTACTATTCACATGTTCACAGGCTTTTCTGGGGAGTCCTTATCACCTGCACATCATCTCCACTCCACTTGCTATCCTGGACTACATGAGGCACCAGTTAAGGTTCAAAGGACGAACAAAGAAAAGCACAAAGAAAGGATATATTTGGAGGTTCACTGTCTAGTGAAAGTAAAACGCAATAGTGTGAGATCAAAGGAGCTTGCAAAGAAAAGCGTCTGGACTTCTTTAAGTTGCTTGAAGACGTTTCACCTCTCATCCGAGAAGCTTCTTCAGTTCTAAGGTCAAATGGTGGAGAGTCCCAGATATAAACCTAGTGGGAGTGACCCCCCACAGAGGGACAAAAGGACCCCCTGATGATCCTCTAATCGCCTGAGCCAAGGTGGGAAACTGGGCGTGGGTCCCAATCAGCCAGAGTTTCGGGTGCGTTCATTGTGAAACCTGGCCCCCCCTTATCATGCGAATTCCTGAGGTCAGATGGCCCAGGATGTGAGTGGGCGTTAAGGCGTCTGGGAAGGGATCTCTCCACCATTTGACCTTAGAACTGAAGAAGCTTCTTGGATGAGAGGTGAAACGTCTTCAAGCAACTTAAAGAAGTCCAGACGCTTTTCTTTGCAAGCTCCTTTGACTACGATGACCTGGATGACTGAGAACCTTCACAGACAATAGTGTGAGATCTAATAAACTACTTCTTAAATGTCATCGTTTTCTGTAAGTTTTTTTTCTACATCTGTTCTATAACATCTCTGATCTGTTGTTAAAACTATTTGGACTTTTTCAGATCTTAAATTCAATAAACCCAAACCAGCCGCATAAAACTGAAACTCATCAGGCATTTCAGGCAATTTTATTTGAGGCAGTGTTTAGTCGAACCAGAATCATCTTTCCCAGTTGGAGCATAGACTTACAGCCATCATTTGTTGGATAATGACACACCTGTTTTATAGCCAGGTGAGGCCTGTTCCTTGTTATTTCGTGACAAACAAAACATATATAATATTTTAAATTGCTTCAAAGTGTTGAACTTGTATTTTAGCTTCTTTTTTTTTAGCATTATTTCCATAGTTTGAACAAAGAGATCGCAATATGTAACCAAGAAACAAAACAAAAAACATCTAAAGGAGATGAAATTCTAGTGAAATAATATAAATAAAATAATAGTAAAAAAACCTTTTGTTCGATTAAACGAGGATGATAGAAAGACAGAATTATGAGAAAGGAAGAAAGAAAGAGCTAATGAGCCACGGCTAACCACAACATCTGTCAAACATGATGGAGGCAGTGTTATGGCATGAGGTGCCAGAGGGACTATATAAATTGTGTGTGCTGATGATGGGACTGCTGATAGAAGGAGCAGGATGGACTGTGAAGTGTTCAGAGCTGTACCCTCTGCCCAGATTTAGCGAAATGCTGTAAAACTGATCAGACGATGCTACGCAGTGCAAATGGATAACAACACAAAGCAAACCACAAAAACAACAGTTTGCTAAAATGGGATATTCGGCAAAGGCCACATCAGTCACCCGACCTAAAGCCAATACAGCATGCTTATGCTTAACATTATGTTGCGTTGTCCAATTACGTTTGAGCCTCTGAAAACAGGGGACTGTGGGTGTTAATGAAGTAGTTTTGCAAAACCAGCAAAAAGTCTGCACTTGAATCACATCTTAACTGTTTAATCTGAAATGCATCGGGGTGGTTTTCAGTGTAATTATGCAAAAAACCCAGGGAAGTAACGTCAATTAAGGTTCTACTCCTCTCCATGCTCCAGTCAAAGAGCGCCTTTAAGAAATCAGCAGATGCATCTTCAGATGTAATTTGCACCAAGAAATGTCAGCTCTGCTGCTCTCTTGACTAAAGTTGCATCAGCTGACCATGAGCACAGACTCTGCAGGAGGACAAAAATGAGTAACTTTGGGAAAACATGGAGGAAAGGAAGCTGATTAATATTTACTATATAGGAAAAATATGTTTAATAATGCTGTTTTTTTCACTTAAATTCAACTTGGATCATTAGTAAAACATTATTTTTAATGATTAACTTTAAAAAACAAACAAACAGTGAGGTGGGGGTATATTTTCCCCCTTCTGGAGGACTAGAAGGAGACTGAGAACCAGAAGAGTAACTAACGAAAACGTCAGATGAGAACAGCTCAGCTGATAAAAGCATGGTTTAAATATTATTATAATACATTACTGACCTTACTATATTGCAAATATTTATAAAAGATAGCAGGTGTTCTAATAACAAAGTAACAAAGTCAAAACTTTTCAAGTGGCTTTATTAATAAAATGATCACATCAATAACCATTTGTAAGGAAGATCTACTTAAGTGTTCTCATTTAAACGAACAGTAACACAGTCCTACTTTAATATCATTAACCCTTCCACAAACAAGATCTTTATTGCAGCTTTTCACGGATAGTGTTTCAACATCTGAAAGATTCCCAATCCTGCTTTACACATGGAATTACACTTGACACTATACATTTATTATTTAAGTCTGATAACCTAGGCACAGTCTAAAAAACAAAGAACAAAGAATGAAAAAATGAGTGGGCATTATAATGTTTGAGTGTTTCGGTGAACAGTCTCTAAAACTGAGACATAAAGAGCAAAAAAAAAAAAAAAGTACAGTACAAAAGATAGTTTAAGTATTTTGTAAAAAGGAGGAGTTTCTATATTTTACAATACAGACTATTGCAAACAAGTCCCAAAGAGATCTTAGAAGTGTCGAGTCTTTTAGTCAGTAATGAAGGAATGTATTGATATGACAGCCCTATTCATTCAGAAACAGATTTAAAAGGTTTCCAGCTGTACGTCTCTTTGAAAAACATCAAGGGCAAAGACCTCACCAAGTTCATCTCAGAAAGTGGAGAATCAAACCACAGCTGCTCGGCTTTCAGGTGCAAATCAAGCATGACTATGCGAGCTTACGTTATCGTTACAGGAGCCAAACATGTGGAAAGCAATTTATTTTTGATTATTTAAAAAAAATGGCCTGTATTTATATAGCGCTTTACTAGTCCCTAAGGACCCCAAAGCGCTTTACATATCCAGTCATCCACCCATTCACACACACATTCACACACTGGTGATGGCAGCTACATTGTAGCCACAGCCACCCTGGGGCGCACTGACAGAGACGAAGCTGCCGGACACTGGCACCACCGGGCCCTCTGACCACCACCAGTAGGCAACGGGTGAAGTGTCTTGCCCAAGGACACAACGACCGAGACTGTCCAAGCCGGGGCTCGAACCGGCAACCTTCCGATTACAAGGCGAACTCCCAACTCTTGAGCCACAATCGCCCAAGAAAAACACACCGACAGATGTTCACACTGATGAATAAGAGCAGTCTTAAAGACAGCTCGATAAGAGCAGTGTGGGTGGAGAGTCAATCAATCTTGTTCAATTTCCAGACATTTAACACAGACATGTAGATGAAGGCCAGTAGAAGGCAATGCTCTGCTTTTCCTAAAACCACCACCTGTGTCCCAGTTTCTCACATTATTGTTCTACAATTTTTTCTTTTCTATTTTGTTGTATAAAAAATAAAAACAAAAAAAAAATGAAAGAAGAAAAAACTTAATTACATACATTTAAACAGATTCGAGGAAAAACGCTAAAACACTTTACAAGACCACAACCCCATTACCTTATTCTTATCGCCACCAACAATTTATTGGAGTGTAAACCTGAGTTTGATCAACAAACTGTATAAAGCTAAAAAATAGTTTCCTTAAACTGTCCACAACCGCAGAGTATTAACAATGTAAAAGCAGCAGTAACGTTACATATCTCCTATATTTTACTGTGACTTAATTCAATATTAACTTCTCATATTTCAGAAAACTTGGATGCAAAGTTAAAATGTGTGAAAACAGAACTGGGGGTATTACAATATAAAAAGAAGACAAATATTACCCCATTATCCTTGTTAGAAAAAAAATAAAAGACAGGAATGATTAATTTTAAGACAACATAAATCCTTCATACTCTATACTAATCCTAAACAGAACCTTGCACAAGGTAAGATCCCATCCCATTTTTGCACAACTTTGGCCACGAAGACGTCATCTATGGACATTTCACTCTTGCCTAAAAGGGAATCGGTAAGTGATCTGGACATTTTGTACTGCACTAGTGATCCAGTTACAGCGGACATCATGCTTGAAAGCTAATGGACTACAGTAAATGTGTGGATTTCAGTGGTTTATGCTCAACATTGCACTTGGTAAAACTGACCAACCGCAGGTTCTGCATTTGTTATGACACTTGAAAGAACTCCACTGGTTATTGGGTGACAGATTTTTAACAATCAGCACTAAATCAGTGAACTAACTAACTGTCAAGCTTGCCACAAATCTGAAAACAATTTAATTTTTTTTTTCCCAATAACAATACGTATGAGGATAGAAACTTTTTTTGTCCTTCTGGTCAAACTAAATAATCTCATTGTAGCTAATTTCTGGCCATCAGATCTCCTCTCAGTCCCTACCAATGAGCTGAGCTGTGTCATCGTCAGAGTGGTGCCTGCCCTCTCCTGTGTCATCACATTCTGAGTCTGTGTCCTCCACCGGTGAGTAGCAACCTTCATAACCTAGGATGGGTGAGTTGCAGTGTGCAGGGGAGGTGAGGCACTGGGCGGTAGTTGTGGTGGTGGTGGCTGAGTAGGCCCCTGGGCTTCCTGTGGGTGACCCCGGGTTGGAGGGTCGAAGCAGAGGAGTGCGCTCCGAGTCTGCGTCACCTTCTGGTCCTTCTTCCTCTCCACGTCCTCCAGTTTCTGTCTCAGACTCAGACTCGGACTGCTCAGGGTTGTTGCGGGTAACGCGCTGTTTGCACACTGGACACGTCTTCTTGGTCTGTGTGAGCCACGGGTCTACGCATTTGCAGTGATAGGCTGAAAATCAAAAACATTTTGAGGAACTTATGAAAAACCTACCAGAGGATGACGATTAAAATACTAAACAAGAGTTTTTAAAAGATAAAAAAATTCATATTTTAGAAAATAGGATGGGATTAGATGATTGAGCACTTAAAAAAAAAGTTCAGTGCCTCATCAACACAGAATATCAGATATTTACCATGTGAACAAGGCAAAACACGCAACTTGTCCCCTTCTTCATACTCATCCAGACATATTGCACACACATCATAGTCATCCCCTGAAAGAGACTGAATGTTACCAGCTCACATCATTAGACATAAACAGGCATGTAACTCTCAACGCACGTAAAAGTCTTCCCAAATGATTAAAAAAATAAAACGCAGCCTTCAAATTTACCGTCACTTCTTAATATTTAAAAAAATTATTTATTATAATAACAGCAAAAATGGTTACCTTTACTGAACTTGTGTATTGGAATGCGTTTCAGCTGTTCCTTGGACAAACGATTTTTTCTCAGCCTTTTTCTGTATTGTACACATCGTGTAATCTGAAATATGGAAAAAAAAAAAGCTCAGTTTTATCGATGGAAAAAAGATTTACAGTGGCGTCTCAACACTTCCCTTAACCCTCATGGCCTGCCTCCCTAAGAAATAACAAATAAATAAATGGGGGAGAACTGCTTAATGCTCATGTACTCATTATTACAAAAAGGGTCGTTTCTCTCCTCTGATGCGTTTGTGGCAGGCTCTATTCATGTGTGCTCTTCTTCATCTGCCCCTCACTTTGCCACACATTAAGCTAAGCTGAGCAGAGAGGCGAGACCGATAAAGTGAAGGTGACATTACGCAAGTGGAAAATAACCAGATTCATTTCTGTAAGTTTAATAAAAGCTGCCTAATAGACATCACTGGGTTTGTTCTTTGTGTTCATGTTTGACAACTATCATTAGATACTAAGAAGCTGGATTAGAATAAACACACAGAGATATGTTGAGCTACAGTTAGGTCACTCTTTTATAACACAAAAAGCCTCTACTACCTCTGGTCTACTTTCATCATGTGTTATTGTATAAACAACCCAGAAAAGATCAATTCATGCATATACTTACGAAAACAACAGACATCACAAGAATGATCAGGCACACTACTCCGGTGAAGGGAATAAGGTAGTAGGAAAGCGGAAAAGGAAAGTCTGGCTTGAGAATCACATACGCCCTACAAGTCAAGAAAAGAAAAAAGTAGAAATATGTTTGTTTCTGCAAACCTAATACATATAAACAGATCTGCCTACAGGTTATACATTTCCATATGTAAATTCTGTAGGCAAAGTGTCTGTACTGGAAACCTTCTGGTTTCCCTTTGCAATCTAAGGTCTGTGGACCAACAGTGTTTGAGGTTGCAGAGCAAAAGAGCAAAAACTTTGCAGAAATTCAATCTCAAAAGCATTTGACAATCACAGATGCAATTTGATTAACAGAATTCTCTTTCTTATTTACCTGCATTAGTCACGTGACATGATAACAGACAAAGATATAAGCTCGCTACAGTGGAAAGTCTGAAAACTGGCCTTTGCCTGAGAAGCTAAATCAGCAGCCAAGCCAAATGGTTTCCAGATTGGTACAAATCTAATGCTGACAATAAAAAGTTGGTTTAATCTACAGTTTATGTTTAATATTACTGGTATTGTTCTTCCTTACCCCTGTTCCGGAATTATGTAATTCCTAAGAATGTGCGAGGCATAGTAGCTGGCGAATACAGAGGGAATATTAATCTGTTCTGCAATAGTTTCTGAAAAAGAAAAAAAAATACAAAACAACAGGAATCAGACACACACAGTAGGACAGTACAATAGCAAATATTTATATTTGTAATATTTGTTTTCCCATGTTTATAATAGCACAAATAATTACCATTGCTGTAGTTCATATTGAGCAGAATTTCTGAATAAATGTTGTGAACGATTGCGGCATCGTATCCAGCTTGCTGTGCATTTAAAACCTGAAACAAGTTCCTTACATTAGAGCAGTGTGCTTCTCAGACAACAAATATTCAGTGTTAAACTCTGCTTACCTTTATATCAAAGTTACAGTCATAACGTTTGATGAGAACAACAAATTTGGTAGTTGTGGCATTAAAAGATGGGGGCAGTGGTGGGGGAGGGTCTATTGTTGTGCAAGCATTAGCTGGATGAGAGGCAACCAAAACTCCCTAAGATACAAAGAAAAAAAAAAAGCATCATTATAAAAGAAATCGACCTGCATTTTACCATCTGTACTCCTCCTTCAACACTCAGTTCTCACCATTATTCCATCCTTTGGAAGTGCAGATCCAAACAAAGCAATGCGGTCATCAAATGTTTTGGTAATATTGCTATAATGCTGTAAATACAATATACAAACACTATGAGAACAGGCAAAAGTTTCATAAGAGTCTGAGGCTCATCTTTCCAAACAAAGGTTACCAAATTATATGATTTAAAACTCCAATTCTACTTACAGCATATATATAGGCATCTGTAGGCAAGGGGAGCAGTATGCTGCAGAAAACCAGTATAAGCACACTCAGTCGAGTTCCCATGCACCGACAGCCAAGCTGCACCATCCTTGGTTACTTACAGTTGAACTAATCTATAAAAAAGAAGTAGTCATGTTGAACTAGAGATTTATGCTTTAGCAGGAAAACTACATCATAGCTACATTGTAACCACAATCCCTTCTGAAACCCAACAAAGTGACCTACCCCATCATCTGACGGGCACCTCCCTACAAATATTGTAGTTGGGTGTGCACAGCCTCCAGCTATTGTGATTGGCCTGTTCAGTACTGATGATTCCTCCTGTGCATTTCTGGCTACCTTTTCAACAGTTTTTATTTTATTTCAGAGAATAACAATCATGATCTAGATATGAGGACAAGTAGTTACAGCATTAATATAAGGACTGTGGCTCCCAACATCCTCTAGCAGATCATTACATGAAGGAACCTTTTAAATACAAGCGCACTCATGCTCACAGGTGTACACACGGGTGCTCACACACACAAACTACACCCTTTTTGGCTCCTACCTCAAAGCACACTGTGCGCTGTCGATCTTACGTGCTGCACAATAATGTTTAGTATTTACTGTGATATTCCCATAGATCATCGTGATGTTGTTTATTATGTTGCTCTTTTTTTTTCTTCTGCTTGTTTTCTCTTTTTTCTTTCTCAACAGGTGATCGATATATGTATTTTTTGTCTGTTTATTTTGTTTATTTTTTGCCCTTTATCCCCGTCCCTCTTCCCCGCTGTTTTTCTTTCCCTCATTTTTTCTCCCCTTTCTTTTCCCCAGTCAAGTCTGTCCCGTATTTAGCAAGTGAAAATAAAATAAACAATAAAAGGTGAATCAAATAGACCAATACGGTAAGGCTGGGATGGTCCATTTGGTAAAGTAAATCCGTTGGGCATCTTTCTTCACCTTTAGACAATAATTCTCTCAAATGTCAGCAAATTCCACAAGGGAGATTGCTGACATTGTTGGGATGGGCGTGATAGAATGAGCAAAGTGGAAAAACTAGAGGAGCAAATATTTTTGCCCTGGAAAAAAAAACAAAAAGAAAAAAAAAAAACTGACCAGAACAAAGAATGGAGAAAGAGGAGGGGAAAAAAGTGCCAGAATTTTATTTGTTTCTACTGGATGGCACCGCACATAAAATGTGATAATTAACACATGACGCACCACGCACAAGCATAAAAGCTGGCAGCCATCATGTAGGTTACGTCGCAGGCTCTGCAAAGATTCACCACAGAAGTCTATGTGATGCCTTATTATGCAAATTCAAATAGTTCAATCTAAGTAAATCTGTAACCTGATTCATCAACAAAGAATGAAGTAACCCACCATCACGCATTTACACGAACTAGATTGTTATGGAGTAGCAAGACAAGTACTTTTGGAGGTTATTGCCATGTTGTTGTCCTCATTTGACTTCTTTTAACCCAAGCTAATTGGCATTTTCACAAGCAAAGGAGCATGTTTACATAAAACACTTAAGTTCACTGACTGTTTGCAGTTTCCAGAGGTTTGCTTTGTTGACACTCCACTTTTTATCACTTTAACACAGATAAGTAATCTAACCAGTTGTTTGGAAGCTTTGTGATTTACCACTCACATGCAAATCAGAAGAACCACGGATTTGAAGTAGACTACATCTACATATTCTCCACATATCACCCACAAATAAACACCCTTTTACATGGAAAAGTATGAATACGCACAGTATACATTCAAGGCCCTTATACTGGTACAGATGAAAACAAGCCAGTTGACTCAAAGTGTACTCAACAATGCGGAATCTGAATGCACGTACATGTATACGCATACCTTCAAGAAAAAGAGATTTTAAACGACAACATGCTCGCTAGGATGAGGTAAAACAAGTGAGATTCTTTTTAGCAAGATAGTAACATTCCCCAAAGGCCACATATGGTTTGTGTCACTAGTTAGCCATTTAACCCATATAGAATAGAATAGAATGATCCTTTAATTGTCCCACAAGGGGAAATTTGGGTGTAACAGCAGCAAGAAAGACACATATACAAACAAACAGTACACAAGACACAGAAACATACACAATTTTTACATATTTACATCAATTATACTGTCTCCTGTCTTTCTAACAAAACAGGAATGTAGCAACTTTTTGTCGCTTTTGTTGTTTACAGGAAGTTAGCCTGGTATCTTTGCATAGGCTCTGTCGCAACAATAAAACTCATGACTTAACTATGCAGTTAGGTCAAAGGTCAAAGTAGACTGACTGGCTGAAATGCGATTAGCATACAGTTAAGGTCAGTTTCTCCTTAACTCTGACCAAAGCACAAGTAACATTATCTCATGTGTTTATAGTGTGGGAAGGACATACCTCAGTATTCCGCTAATAAGTGCAGTGGGAGGTTTGTGACCTCACCTGAGATTCTCACATATAACCGTGTTTTTTTAATATATAACACTTATTTTGCTTTTATACTCCCCAATTATCTCTAAAGAGTTAATATTTCCACGACAAAACGACAAACACAGCGAGAATTAACTAAACGTTAGTTGCCGTCTGGCTAGTATTAGCTGACGTTAGATAACAGCTACGACGTCTTCGTAACAGATACTCATATATCTATTGCGCAGCCCATTCACAACGTTTTATAGAGAACTAACAAAACAAAAACCGATGATACGTCGAATAAAGACAACATACACTTCCACCAAGTTGTGTTACCTTACAGCTGCTAGGTTTGTTTGTTATTGCTTCTTCTTCGGTGTCTTCCTCGCTCGTAGTCTAGGTTCTGTTGGTGGTTGGCAGACCAGCGTTCAGCTGCTGTACCGCCACCTATCGGACTGGAGTGTGAAACAGTAGACAGGAGTTTTGCAAGCTCTATTGAGTGTTTAAAACCTTTGGTTACAGTAAAATGAAAACAAAAATCAATTTCAAGTACAAATATAAGATTTCAACATAGAACGAGTGCATGAAACTAAATTCCTGAGTGTGATAATAAATGAAAAAAGTTGCTGGAAGTCAGAATCAGCTTTATTGGCCAAATATAGTAATCGGGCTAAGTTTTTATCTTTGCTCTCAGTGTAAATAGCATAGAAAAACAGACATTACAGACAATAGCAAAATGTATAGCATATATGTGCGATGTGCAAAGTGTAAAGGTATTGGAATAAATTATTAAATAAATAATAGATTGCTAACTAGCTGGTTAAGATATCAATAGCATACACGGATCTCACAGTAATGATATTCAAAACAAACTGTGTTAAAGCATTTCAGTCTTGCCTAAAGTGAGGCATGTGAGACATCAAAAAACACTTTACATCCTTTACAATTCTTTGGTTTTAAATTGTTATGTTACTGTGTGGAGAAAATACTCATCAAAGGTCATTACAATCACCGTATGTATTGAAAAAACAACAACAAAAACAAAACAAAGATCCATGCGAATTGTTAGTAATGTAAAGTTTTATAAACAAATTGATCCAATTTTTTAACAGTAAAATTCTTTAATTCAAAACAGCATGAATGTAAGGAATAAATTGTTGCCAGAAACCATTCAGAAATTGTTCTGTGATAGAGATGAATGGCTACAACTTAAGGGGTACAACAAATTCTAAGATACAAAGAATTTGGACTACGAAAAGAACTTTTTCTATATCCACATGTGGCATAAAATCATGGAACAGTTTAATGAGGGAACAGTTTAACAGTGGAATTAATGGTCAAGCATTACTCAGTTTACAAACAAATATAAATAGATTATTTTAGAGGGAGGAATGTAGAGGGCTGATAATCACACAGTGATTATTCAATGTACAAAATGCATTTTTTTTGTCTTTGTTGGTGAAGTATATAATGTTTTATGTGTGTATTGTGTGTAGACTATGTACAGTTATGTTGTACGAGGAAATAAGGTTTTAATTTATCCTGCTTAAGGAAGTCTGCTGCATGTGGATAGTACTTCAGTGCTGCCCTCAAGTGGTAGGATCTCTGTAGTATCACATGCAGTGTTTTTGCTGTTGTCAGTCTGATGCCAGGACCTTATCTTCAAGGGAAATCAGCTGTAGTACAAATAATAACTCCAAGCAAAATAAATAAATAAAGCTTGCATATATACTAGGAAAATGGACCCACTCTCTTTTGTGTAAAAATGCAGCTTTTCACCAGTAGTGTCAGGCTAGTCATAGGAGTATCAGAGCACAGCGGTTATAAAAGAATGACAAAGAATCTACATTTGGATGAGCTTTTGGACAAAAATCAGCAGCTGTATTAAACGTGTCCATACACTGTTAAATGTTAAATTTCTTTCCCTATTTTTACCCTGTTGCTTTCTACGATAATGATGCTGATAGCAGGGATTTTCTTGCTTAAAAACATAGAATCCGTGCATGCTAATAGCTTGCTTTTTGACACTAAGGAAACAAATGACACTGGGGATATGAAATTTTGCATCATGATGGCCCCAAGACTTAAATAAAGCTAAATAAAATAAAAAATAAAAATAAATAAAGAGGAAATTATGCTTAGTTTTAGTTTTATTTGTTAGTTTGGTTTAAAAAAAAAACCAAATATTACAACTTTCCTGATGAGGCTTTGATGGACGTGTTTATTGAGACTCTGAGTGAGTCAGCTGCTTTCAAAAGGTTGAGTTTTTATTTTAATATCTGGACTGTTTTTCCTGAATGGCTCTCAAATGTACGGCTCCATTAATAATAAAAATGAATAAAACTAACACTGAAACTAAAGATTTTCCCACAAGAAAAACTCAAATGAAAGAAGAAAATTCGCTGTGGAAACTAAGTGAGACTACACTAACTTAAAAACAAATAGTGAAAGGGAGATATAAAATGTTTATGAGTGAAGATGGTTGTCTGTCTCTCTGTGATGGACATCATGGTGGTGTCCATGGTGTACCTCGCCTCTCGCCCTACGACTGCTGTGAAAAACAGCCCCCATTCTTCACCACGACCAATATGCCGTGGTGAAGAATGGGAAGGATTTTTTTTAAAATTGATGAGATAAAATGAAAATCGCAGAAAGTGAACAAACGCATGAAGGTTCATACATAAGGTATCGTAATGCACTTAAAGCTTTTTGCACTCTTTATGAGAAGATTGAAGGAACTGTTTTATGAATGTGTTTCTCTCCCTTTTGTTACAGCAACCTGTCTGTGCAGCTTTGTCAGCATACAGCAAAGTCTAAAAACATGATAAAGAAAGCCACACCTCCTAAACTTCTCTGCAGTAAGCTACTTACCTTTGGAGTTATAAGCCCATCACCTGAGATGCAGTCTGCTGTAACAATCCCAGTGGCTCAGGCTCTTAAAGCTCAGTTATGTGCACAGACCCTGACTCAAAGGGGATTAGACACTGACAGTAACTATCGGGTGAAAGCGTTTCTTGAAATTTTGCCATATTGTTTATTTGTTGCAGCCAGAAAACACTAATAATTTCATTTCATTTCATTTATTTATTTATTTCACACTTGGTACAACAGATCAAACAAACCAACCACACTTTCTATCAATAAAGCACTACAACCATGTGTGAAAAGGAGCAGGAAGAAGAAAATATTCTTATTAAACCCTGCCCCCTATCTACAATCCAACTTATATTACAAGTGGGCACCAAAAATCAGGGAACAAACTAATATTAACATTTCTCTCCGGTCCTAACCCAAACCAAACAACAAATTTTGTAAATCAGAATATACCACTCCACATAGTAACAAGGAGAAAAATAAAATTAAATAAATAAAACAAAAAATTATAAAGGATCCTTTTTCAATGAACTCCAATTTCATTCACATTCTTCATATTGAGTTATCGTTTTAAGCACATAACACTTTTTAAAACAATGTAAACTTATACAATTCTTTAAATTATAATGAAGAGAGTTCCACAGTCGTATACCCCTAACCGTTGTACTCATTAATCTTTGTGTTTTATAAATAATTTATTTGTATGTTCTCTATATTTAACGTTATGAATCATTCGTATCACTTTCTTCTGTAATAAGTTTAGAGGTTTTATAGTATTCTCATATGTATTCCCCCAAACTTCAACACAGTAACTAAAATATGAGAAAAACAATGAAAAATATAAAATACACATTGTTTTATAATCGAATAAATCTCTTACATTTCCCAAAATATAAATGCTTTTAACCATCTTCTTTCTAATATACTCAATATGAGATTTCCACGTCAAATTTTCATCTACTACCCAAAAAACGAAATTCAGTAACTCTTTCAATCAATTCTCCATCAATGGACATAATGACTTCATCCTCCTTTACACGATTGCCAAATATCATGAATTTCGTGTTTGTCAGATTCAAAGATAATTTATTTACATCAAACCATTTTTTAAATCTTAACATCTCAGAAGTCATAATTTCAACCAAATCTTTCAAATTCTCTCCAGAGCAATAAAAATTTGTGTCATCTGCAAATAAAATAGAATTTAACCTTTTTGATACGTCACAGATATCATTGATATATAAATTAAAAAGTTTAGGTCCCAAAATAGAACCTTGAGGAACGCCACATACAATCTCCAATCTTTCAGAAGTATTGCCGAGATAATGTACATATTGCAACCTATTTTCTAAATAACTCCTTAACCAATTCAATGCCACTCCTCTCACACCATAGTTATACAATTTAGAAATCAAAATAGAATGTTGTAACGTATCAAAAGCTTTTTTTAAATCAACAAATACCCCCACTGTATATTTATTATTATGGGTTGCAGATGAAATATCGTCAATGAAAGTCAACAATGCTAATGCCGTTGATCTATTCTTACGAAATCCAAATTGATTTTCATTTATTAGTTGATATTTTTCAATAAAACTATCAAGTCTTTGCGTAAAGAGTTTTTCAAGCACTTTTGAAAACTGTGACAAAAGAGACACTGGCCTATAATTGTTAAAACTATGCTTATCTCCTGATTTATATAAGGGTATCACTTTTGCCACTTTCATTCGATCAGGAAATACTCCTGATTGTAGCGAAAGATTAAAAATATAGCAAAGAGGAATACTTATACAATCTAAAGTCTTTTTAATTATAACCATGTCTATACCATCACAGTCAGTAGATTTTTTATTTTTAAAATTTTCTACAATTGCTACTATTTCTTTTATGGTAATATAATATAGCAGATATCGCTGGATTTTGTGTTATAAACAATCTTCTGCCATAAAAAATATTTCAAACTGCAGGAAATCAAGTAGAAAATGAAATTTATAACCTGAGGTTTGTTACTGTGTCGTTATATATTACGGAGCAGTGTTGTGTGTACTGTAAATTGCACTTGTGGTAATAAACTGTCTGCCATGAGATGTAGCTTTGGCTATTAATGGCCTTGTGCTCCTATTTTACTGAAAGCATGCAACTTATTGAATTAGATCAGCCATATTATCACGGTTAAAAAGGTTCAGGTTGAAAAGGATTCCTATGGAGGTATCTTCAATTATTAAATGTGATATTTATGGGAAAGTAGTTCTTTTTTTTAATCCACATTCTGTGTTTTCAGGGGCCCCAAGTCCCCCTTTTGATTGGACTTAATGGATAATCAGAATCAGAATCAGAATCAGAATACTTTATTGATCCCTGGGGGAAATTATTTTTTGTTACAGTGCTCCATTTTAAACCATAAAAAGCCCATATGAGTTAAAATAAACCA